CTATGCTGCAGGCATCACAATACCTGACTTCCAATTATAGTACAGAGCTATAGTTTAAAAAAAATTGCATGGTACTGGCATGAAAATAGACACATAGACAAATGGTACAGAATAGAAGACAGAGACAAACTCATACATCTACAGTCATCTGATCCTTGACAAAAGCTTCAAACACATCTATAAGAGAAAAGACAGCCTGTTTAAACAAGTGATGCAGTGAAAACTGTTTATCTACATATGGAAAGATGAGACTCAATCTATAGCTCTCACCCTGCATAAGTCAACTCAAAATGGATTAAAAAGCTAGGAATTAGACTAGAAACTATGTAACTCCTAGAAAAAAAGTATGGTCAACACTCCAGCTTTTAGGCACAGGCAATCACTTTCTCAATAGGACCCCTAAAGCTCAGAAATAATGAAAAGAGTTAGTAAATGGAACAGCATCAAATTAATAGCCACATTTAATGGAAAATTCCTTCTTGAACCTCATGAAATACTGTGATATTATGAGAATTATTCTTCTATAAACCCACAGAAAATTACTTGCATTGCTGTTTAAGTGTTATTTGATTCTGCTTTGTAATTTTTCTACTTAGTTTCCTATCTGTTTCATTTATCTTTTTTGTAAATTCAAAAAAATAAAGTATTTCTGATTAATCTTTGTTACATAAGAAGCATCTCTTATCCAGTGATTAGTACATTATACTAAAAAGTGAGCCAATAGTTTATTATTTTATCTCTAAACCATGCAAGTAGAATAGTATTGGCTTAGTGGATGTTGTCCATCATCTGAGGTTTCTGATTTGCAAACAGTAGGCACAAATTAATATTAAAAGGGCCACATTTTTCATCCTGAAGTAATTTACATCCTATGGGAATTGATTCAATATAAAGTTCAGAGGTATGCTGGATTCATTGGGACTCTCATCAGTCATTTACATTTAGAAACAATTAATACAATGAAGTTACATTTTTCCCCCACTGACATAACTTATGCTATTTTAAATGTGAAGATTTATTAGACAATTGGCAGGTCTTTTTTATATTCTCATTTCAGGGAACAAAAACATATTTTTCACCATGTAAGAAAAATATGGCCACAGGTTTATTGATAGTAGAAATTACTCTTAGTGTATTTGAATTTGCTGTTGGCAATAGCCATACCTTTATATTCCATTTACCCTGTGGTTGTGTGCACTCTTCCACAAAGAAATTGTTCAGATTTATGGGTTTAACCTATTGCCATGAAAGATGTTCTTGTCACCTGCAAAGTAGAATGAACCATATATTTTTTAATTCATACTCTGTGATGTAATACTTTGAGCTAAAATATCTGAATATGAAATGCCTTATTACTCTTTGTATCTGTCTAGGATCTGGAAGATTGTAGTTTCCTTCATTCAATTTGAAGAATTAAAGAATATTTGTTACATATGAAACATAATACCAGACTGTATAGATTCAAAGGAAAAAATACTGCCTTTAACAGAATATATATTATAGTCATTAAGTATTTTAAGAATTGAACCCAGTGCCTCACATATGCTAGGCAAGCGCTTAGCCATTGAGCTTCAACCCCAGCCATGGTTCATTGATTTTTTTATGGCTATTCACCTGTTGTTAGAAATTAGGCTTGTTTCCCACTTTGATATATTACAAATAAAGCTACTATGTATATTCATGCACAAGTCTTGTGTAGACAAATGTTTTCAGTTCTCTTGAGTAAATACCTGAGAGTGGAATGGCTGGCATCAGAAATGTATGTTTAACTTTTAAATAAACTGAAAAATTGTTTTCCAAACAGACTACTATTTTGCATTTTTCCCTGAAAAAGTAGTTCCAGTTGCTCTACATCCTCAGAAACACTTGGTATGCCACTCTTTTTAATTTTATCCTTTTAAATAGTTGTGTGGCAGTGTCTCATTGTGGTTTTGATTTGCATTTCCACAAGGATTAATGATGTTGAGTTTTTTTGTCAGTTGGTTACATTTGGAGAAATTTTTCTCCTGTGTGTAGCTTCTCTTTGTATTTTCTAGCAGTGTTCTCTGAAGAGCAGAAATTAAATGTAATGAAGCCCAATATTTTGAGTTTAAGTTTTTATATATTTCTTTCATGGTCTGCAGTTGGTATAGAAATAATCCTTCCCTAAATCAAGGTCACCTCAGCTTTCTCTTACAAGTTTTTTTTTTTTTTTAATTTTTACATTTTGCATTTATCTGTGCACCATTTTGAGTTACTTTTTAATTTGTCACGTGGTTCATTTATGTATGTAGATCAATAATTGCAATGAAATAATTTACTGAAAGGAATAACTTTATTTATTGTATTGCCTTAGAGTATTTGTAGGAAGTCAGTTAAACATAAATAGTGTTTTTATTCCTGGGAGTTCTATTCTGTTCCATTGATCTGTGTGTCTATCCTTATACCAATAGCACACTTTATTTATTTATTTATTTTTGGAGAGAGAGAGAGAGAGAGAGAGAGAGAGAGAGAGAGAGAGAGAGAGAGAGAATTTTTTAGTATTGTTTTTTTTTTTTTTTTTTTTTTTTTAGTTTTCGGTGGACACAACATCTTTATTTTATTTTTATGTGGTGCTGAGGATCGAACCCAGCATCCTGTGCATGCCAGGTAAGCATGCTACCGTTTGAGCCACATCCCCAGCCCAACACACTTTACTTTTACAATTAGCCCTGAAATCAAGTGGAGGAGTATTCTGTCTTAGTTTTACTTTGGTAAAGTTATTTTGTTTATTCTGCATCCTCTCAATTTCCATAAGAATTTTAGAATGAATGTGTTGATTTCTGCTCCCAAAATATGCAACAAACCTCCTAAAACAAACCAGTCATTAGATTTTTTAAAAAAAAAATACTTATTTTACTTTTCATTGTCACACTAAATGTACATATATATGGGGTGAGTTTTAATGATTGTTTTTTTTTCTTATTGTGGGTGGTGATTTTTAACTGGGGTGGCAAATTATATGAATTTTACAGTGATGCTGTATGCATGTATGAAATGGATATCTCTTTTTGGACATAGTCAAGCTTCTTGGAAACACTTGATTCTTTCTATGCAAACTTTGAAACTTTGTTATACAAGAACAGAGTAATGCTTAGTCTAAGGAAAGCTAAATTTTCTCCAATCCAGGGGCACTATTCTTCTGACAACTTTTCTCAATGCCCTGTGAACTGTGAGGGTTTCATCTGTGCTGGTGAGAACATGAGGTCTTTTCAGTTCTCTATGAATCCTACAGATTGTTTCCTCTGCCTGTTTCACGTGATTCTTTCCCCAAACTCAAGTAGTTTCTTCACATGCATGTGTTGATCAGTACTCATCTGAAAACTTGAGAATGACTAATTAGTGCCTGGGCAGTGCTTGCTGTGAAGCTCTCTTCTCTCTACTACTCTTCCTGGTGAATTCTAGTATCCTTGGCTTCAGCAGACTTACATCTCTGCCTCAATGAGTTTGTTGAGTTCCATCATCTTTTCTTTCCCTATGTTGTGGACTAAAACTCTCCCCAGTCAGTAAGCTGAAATGATTTTTGGTCTCCCTTCATTTCTTTACCTACTCAATGATCATCATATTGTGTTGGTTATTTCCAGTTGTCTTTCATACTTACGCCAGAATGTTAACCTTTGTAACTTTAAGATGAATAATATTATCTCCCTTATAAAGTTAGAGAATTAGAGAAGTTTTATTTACCAATCTATAAGATGCTAGCCTTACTCCAAATATAAGGGAATCCCCAAATAGGTCCATGACTTATTGTGCTTGTATTTTAGAGGAAATGCAAGGCACCGAGAACAACTACCATATCCTCTCATGTCCCCATCTGAGATAGATCCTGGCATGCATACATCACCTCTATTGCAAAGCATAAATTGTAGAAGAAAAATCTAATGTCATATAAATAAGGCCAATTAGGAAAAATTTTGATCATGGATATAGGCTTTGATCCTTTGATTCTAACAATACTGCCTAATTGGAATATATAGGATTTGTTTTTCTATGTATATGGCTACAAAATTGTCTTAGCAATATACTTTGTGTTACAAAGTATAATTTATGATTTTTAAGAAAATGATGACTCAACTTCTAATAACAGAGTATCAATAATGACAGGATTCATTTGGATACCAGGGATGATCATGGATCCATAAGGTTATTAATCACATATTTGGAGTTGATTATTAATTTTTTTTATTTTAAGAACAGAAATTAAATTATTTTTGTCTTCAAAATGTTTTTGCTGCTTATCATATTTTGCTGCTTATCATTGTTATACACACTTCTGTTAGATTTAATTTATCTAGTTACTCATTAGTTTATGGGTTTTATCCTGTGAGTAAATTCATTAAATCAGTTTACTGCATGCATAAAATTGACACTGAGATATCTAAATGCATTATTTTTAGAATTCTAACATATCTGTTCATATGTATTGACAAGGAAATCATTCAAACTAATTTAATATTGATTTTTCCTTATGGTTTAGATTCAATGTAAACTACAGTTACAAAATGAGTTCTAGAGTCAGTTTAGATGGGTTTGAATTGAATCTTGGATCTATCACTAACTGGTTATCACTAACATTGGGCAAATTAATCTCACAAATCCTAATTTTCCAATCCTGAAAATCAAATACTAGTATACATCTGTAGCTATTAAAGGAATTTACCATATAATGCATATAAAAGCACTTTCACATAATTCCCAGTACATGGGAAGTCTTTAACAAGTGTTTCCTTTTCTCTTTACAAAGGCAAGAGAGATGAACTTCACAGTTAAGAATGTAAGCCCTGGAGTCAGCCTGAAAAATATAATTTGACTGGGGCATTGATTGGTTAGGGAATTTTTGTTTGTCTTTTTTTTTTTTTGATACTGGAGATTGAATTCAGGGGCACTCAACCACTGAGTCACATCTCCAGAATTATTTTGTATTTTGTTTAGAGACAGGTGTCGCGACCCCTTGCCCGCAAGGAAGACGCAACTCAGGAATCTTCTTTCAGCAGTTTATTCAGGCCCTTGATATTTCTTCTTCTTCCTCTCTGATGCCCCTCCCAGCCTTAATAAAGCATCCCAAGCCCCAATGCAAAGCTGCCGCGTGGAGCTTTCTCACAGGGTGGTGAAAAATCATGTGCCAACTCTCCCAGATAAGGAGTTGTTTGTCACAGACCACAGCGGAGCCAGCATCATCTTGTAATGGCGACCATAATCTGCAGAAACGGCAGAAGCGGCTCACCACAGTTCCCCCTTTTCTGTTTTATTAAAACAATACAGGCGAGAGTAGAGGTCCTATCCCACTGTGCAGAAGTGGCTGCATAGTATGGCTCAGTCCCAAGGAGGGCCCTTCCCCAGATCTGAGGCCATATCAGCCGACGCCTTTTTTCATGGGGCGGGGCGTGAACGCGTCTAACCCGCATGCAATAGGACATGCTCTCCTTGAGGTCCTCTTCAAGGATCACTCAAGTGCAGTGCCTTGCCTCGCATCCTGTATCGTGACGATGGTGGACGAAGGGGGATAGCTGAGGCTGAACTGTGGCTATTTATAATGACAAACAAGTTGACAGCACCCTGAAAGAAAGGCATGAACTTCAAGGCGATAGAAAAGCACTAGTGTGGAAACCCATCTGCGTGCAATGGCAGTAAGACTGGCAGAGTGCAAGGGCTTTCCAACACTAAGAGAATAACAAGGAAAGTCATGTCGATCCCAGTGCAATGTTATAATAACTTGGGGTGTAACGACCATGACAAAGGTTTACTGCTTAAGATGCGCAAGCCAGACTTGAGGCGAGTTGCCATTTTCTAAAGCTGCAAGAGCTTGTATGATCATAGCCTTTTCTTGTGCATGGCAAGTTTTAAGGCGACAGAGAAGCCACAAACAGAGCACAACACTGAAGCAACACATTGCACCAAAAATGCCTACTCCCACCCACTCTTTGAAGAAGGAAAAAGCAGAAGATATCCAATCGGTGAATTGACCCAAAGTCACGGGATCGACACGGGTACTGTTCAAGACAGCTATCTGGGTTAGTTGAGACTGGATCATGTTTTCTGCTTCCATGGACCAGGTTCCGGATAGATACTCTCCGATGATGCGGGAGGCATTTCTGGAATCATTAAATCTGACAGAGGTTATACATAAATGTGCACGTTGATCAACACAACCCAAATGTACTAGGTCAGACAATTCCTCAACTTGAGCTTGAAGCAGATCTATCCTTTGATTAGCAGCCAGAATCCCAGATAAAATGTGTTGATTAATTCTACTTTGAGATTCAAGTATGGTGGATGTTTGTTGAATAACCTGATTAATAGTGGCAGCAGTTTGTACCTGGCTGGCCATGGCTACTCCAGCTGTAACTGCTGCAGCAGCAGACACCGCCACAGCTGTCACTATAGCTGCCGTAATTCCAAAATCTCTACGGGCTCTAATCAGTTCAACAATAGGAAAAGACTCTGGATCTGCAGTAACCGGGATCGGGACAAAAGTTGGAAATTTCATAATCACTGCCGTAGTCCAAGAACCATTCCAACACTCAGATAAGAGACAGGTAACACTAGAACAATCCAGCATCCCTGACGAGGTGTCATTAGTCAAAAGGAGCAGGAACGGAGATTGGAGACAGACTGCTGTGGAGGGTAATGTAGCATTAAACAATTGTGAATTGTGTGAAGTAATTTTAAGTCTCCTACCTCGCTCCGAGTCTTGGGTACTGCCAGAAACATTAAACAGCCAACTTTGGACTCCTAATATTTCCCTGGGGAAACACAAGCGCGGACTAGACTAGCCCAATCTGAGGGAGTCATGCAAAATCTAGTAAGTCCCTCCACCTGAGTGAGAGTGAAAGCGGCATCTATGCCATAAGTGCGGACAGATTCTGCCAAGGTTTTAATTATCTTAAAGTCTAAAGGCTCATGATATCTTCCCCTGTTATTGTCCTGAAATACAGGGTATGCAAGTCCCATATCTGTATTAACTGTCCTCCAAACTTGTGCATGAAAAGATCTCCCGGAACCTTGGCTCCCCCCCACATACGGAGGTGGGGCAATCGGCACCATATCTTCTTCTAGATATTCTACCTCCTCCTCCTCAGAGTTTTGTTGACCAATGTTAACTCCCTTCCCCTTCTTACAGTAGGCCTGCGTGCCCTGTGTCTCCTTTTTCTTCTTTTTCATTTTTATCTTATGTAGTTGTTGTAACAATATATCAAGGTCCTCAGAACTCTCTGAGTCGCTTGTGTTCTCAGGCGTTTTTAATTCGGTCAAGTCTGGGTAGAGCCTTCTCCTATTTTTCTCTTCAGGCTCTTTTGCCTTCTCACTACTGTTACTTTTAATACTCTCTGCCACTTCACTACATGATCCTTCAGATTTTTCCTCATGCAATTGCTCAAGAATAGCTTGACCCTCACTCACAGCTTCCTGGCATTTACCATCTGTAAGGCAACCACGGACCATTTTCCAAAGGGGGATCACCCCACCCTCTAATATGCCCTGCTCAGAAGCAAAGTCAAGATCTTTGCCTAATTTATCCCAACTAGGCACAGTAAGGCTGCCCGAAAATGCAAACCACGGTGCAGCGATATCTATCTTCTGTAAAAATCTCTGTAAAGTACTATGTTTCACTTCCAGTCCCTTGGAACGTAACAGGCCATCTAGGGCCAGGAGAAGCGGACTTGAAGATGCGGCACCCATGACACAACAACAAAGGAAGCACAAAAAAAAGAAAGCGAAAGTAGGAGCGAAAGTACACAGTGCAGCTGCAATAAAATGTAAGGCTCTCTCTTTCATTACAGAGGAGCTGTCCCGCTTTGGTCGCGGATCCCACTTACTAGGGACTAACCCCGCTTTGATCGCGGATCCCACTTACCTGGGACTAACCGGTGCACCACCCCTGACTGCTGAAAGTTCTGGTTCCCGGGTCTCGGCACCACTTGTCGCGACCCCTTGCCCGCAAGGAAGACGCAACTCAGGAATCTTCTTTCAGCAGTTTATTCAGGCCCTTGATATTTCTTCTTCTTCCTCTCTGATGCCCCTCCCAGCCTTAATAAAGCATCCCAAGCCCCAATGCAAAGCCGCCGCGTGGAGCTTTCTCACAGGGTGGTGAAAAATCATGTGCCAACTCTCCCAGATAAGGAGTTGTTTGTCACAGACCACAGCGGAGCCAGCATCATCTTGTAATGGCGACCATAATCTGCAGAAACGGCAGAAGCGGCTCACCACAGACAGGGTCTCACAGAGTTGCTTAGTGCCTCACTTTTGTTGGGGCTGGCTTTGAACTTGTGATCCTCCTGTCTAATCCTTCCAAGCCACTGAGATTGCAGGTGTGTGCCATTATGCCCAGCCTAGGGGATCTTGAATAAGTTAATTCTCCAAGATTAAGTTTCCCTTCTCCATGAAATAGGAATAATAATGGTACTACTTCATAAGGTTGCTGAGAGAAATACATAGCATCCATAAATTGAGAATACTTTCACTAACATTTGTATGGCTCCTTGCCAGTCAGTATTCACTCATACTAATGCATTTCCTCTTAAATTATATGATTTTACAAACTTTTGGTTTGGTGTAAAATTACTACATACCTGTAAATGGCAATTTTCTACTGGATTCTTTTGTAAATTTTGTGTATTAATTTAAATAGTTACACTTTTAAACTATTGCTTTATAAGGACAATTCAATACATGGATAAATAGTTCTTGATTTTTTTTTCCCAAGGTCACCTTGAAAAATTTGGGTATATCCTATAAAACATCATATGCACTAAGCAAGTGATATATTTAAGGTTTTACAGGTAGTAAATGATAGAGCCCAGGTATAAACCCAGTCAATCTGACACAAGTAGCTACACTTGTAATATTTATGCTTTATGATCTTTTAGGAGAAATAGAATCCAAGCTGTGCCATAAAAAGATAGAATGATTTGACTGAGTCTTTGAGAGGAAAGCTTAAGCAAGGAGACAGAAACAAGAGTGTTATAGACAATTGTGAGGGAAAATCAGAATACCAGTTTATATAGGAAGTGTACTATGTGAGATATATAAAGATCAAAGTTAGAAAGACAGGTTGGAGGAAAATAGTGAAGAACATTGAATGGAGGTTGAATAGATTTTCTTGAAGATTTGAACAGTCGAATATTATCATCTATTTGTTTTTAAACAAAGTGTCTCTAATGTTGCAAAAAAGATCAATGAAGATGGAGGAAATGTCTGAAGACATGGAGATTAGTTCAGAGATTTTTCCAGCAGTCCAGGTTGCAGTTACTAATATCATAAAATAAGGCAACAGCAATAGAGAAAATGGAAATGAGATAATAGATACAACAAGTTGTCCAGAAAAAGAAAAGATAGGAATAAGTACTAAAATGGAGGAAGACAAAGATGTGCAAGGAAAAAACTTTTAGAGTTATTTTTGAAATTTTAATAAAATGAACACAGTTATCTCTAAGTGAAAATGGTCTTAGTCTTATACTTTTTTCTGTCAATCTACCATTTTATTGGTTCCCATAAATTTCATTTGTGTTCCATAGCACCCAAAAGGATTTTTAGAGTTCTGCATTAATTTTAGTTTTTTTTCAGACAGAAAAGGCTAATACAATGTTGATCTAGAGATCTTAGAATACCATCCTTCCCACAATTACTCCCTGTAAACTGTACAAAATAATTAAATTAATGTAAACTACTTGTTGGAAATGGAGTTTTTCTTAACGTTTTAAAAGAAGAAAACAAAATATGCAAAAATGTGATGACAATCAGTTAATATAATGCAGTACTAATAGTTGCTACTACTTGAATGTCTTAAATATTTACCAAATATTTCAAGTAAATTAATTTTGATCATATCTAAGAGTTCTGAAACCACTTCTTTCAATAACAAGATTTTAATTCTATTATTGAGAGGCATAAAAACACTAGAAACTTAATTAGCTATAACATGAGAAATTTCAAACCCAAATGATTGTTTTATTGTAGATATAATTAAAGCAAAATACTTGGAATATATCATTTATATAAAACCATAAAATTTTATAGACATTTTAGGGATGTAGAAGTGGCCAATGTATCTTTCATGCAAAAGTTGATTAAAATCAGAAAATAATGATTGTTTCTTAGTTAATTATAAAGAGTTACAGGATAAAGGAAACATGAACATTTTAAGATGAGATAAATAACATGTTTACTTTGCATAAATTAAAGGCCTATTGTTATCTGATTACCCAAAGAACATATGTAGAACCATATAAGAAGCTATAACATAAAACATACAAACTCAGAAACCACCAGTGTAGAAAAGACAAAGTTGAGGATGAAATTTGGCAAGATGGTGGGCTTGTTCCCTAGTAGAAACATCAATTGGAAAAACTACCCATGTACAAAAATACCTTCACAAGTCTTAATGAAATCAGGTGAGGGCAAATATACCAACTGGATATAGCATGGACATGAGAAAAGATTAATTGAAGAAGGTAGAAAGGTTCGTTTCCCAGTATCCACACCATCTGTCTCTCAACCCCAGGAAGAATTATATGAGGAAAGATACCCAGTGTGTGGAGAAAGAGATGAAAATGAACATTTAACTTGGCTTTGGATACAAAACTGGAGCTACTCAGGTAAAACCCAGGGCCAGGGAAGGCCCTACATCCCCAGACTCTAGGCTAGTACCCATGGATTGGACCTTGAGGTCCCTGTAGCTCCACATTCCAGGTTTGCCCTAGGATCCCAAGCTCTAGGAGATCCAAGAACCAGGCCTATCCCAGAAGACTCTGAAACAAAACCAGCCCTCTTGGACACAAGCTCCAGGACTGCCACCAACATTTCCCAAGTCCCACCTTGGGCTTTTAGTACCAAGGATCCAGGCTAAATACTAGAGATATAACTTACAGGTTAGAATCAGGAAAACAGGCTCTAGGCTGGTTCATAGAGCCCCAGGCTCCAGGCCAGTCCCAGTGGCTCTAAGCACAAGGATGGTATCTGTGATCTTAAACTCTAGACCATCCCTGTTGGAATCAGACTTTATGCTGGTTTCACACCAGCCTAGCACCAACTTTCAGACTGGTCACCATGGCCCAGACTCTAGAAGACCTTTGCTTTATGCTCACCCTAGTAGAGCTGGTACTGGAACAGACACTGAATTGAGGTTCCCACACCATGGCTACAAACTAAGGCACTATGCTAGCCTGTAGATACATAAATCGTCTAAAAGTTATTTAAAATAATTGTTTTATGGAAGCTCAGTGAACTTCAAAGTGTAGATAAAAAGAATTCAATGAAATAAAAAAAATGACAAACAAGAAAACAAAGAGAGATCACTTCACATTGGATAGACTGTATATTATCAAAATGAGAAAAGGTAAGAAATGTTGGTAGGGAGGAAGAGTGAAGTCAACACTTGTTGCCTGATGTTGAGAATGTATGCTTATCTAGCCATTATGGAAAACAGAATGGAAGTTTCTCAAAATATTAAACATATGACTATCATGTAGTCCAGAAATTCCACTATTGATTTTACATATAAAGGAAATGAAAACAGCATATTAAAGAGATACTTTTCCTCCCATGTTCATTGTGGTATTTAGTCACAGTAGTCAAGATATGGCATCACCCTAGTGAGGAAAATGACATACAGTGTCTTATAGAATGGTGGTTACCAGGGGAGTTGGTAGATATTTACTAAAGAATGAAAGTTTCAGTTACATAAGAGGGATAAGTTCAAGAGAACAATTGTATAATAAGATGATTAGAGTCAACAATAATACACTGTATTTTTAAAAATTGATGAGTATAGAGTTAAGAATTTTCACTACCAAATAAGTGAATGTAGTGATGAATATGTTAATTAGCTCAATGTAACCATTCTAAAATGTATATATATTTCAAAACAACAATTTTATGTGATAAATGTGTACAATTTTTCTTTTTCAAGTGAAGTTGAAAAAGAAGAAACAAAAAAACAAAGTCTATCTGAAGATAGATTAGACTGCTCCAAAATATCTAATAATATGTGTGCCTTTCTCTTCCCAAAGAATTTTGAGAATATTACATACAAATTATTTTCTTATCTAATTGTCTTTGATTTTTTTCTAATTTCAGATGTGATATATCTATTCTTTTATTTTGAGAAAATTACTCATGTTCACTATTGTTTCATCTCTTCTCAGATGCTAGCCACTTTCCTCATGTATTATCAAAGTTTCCCTTTATATACCTTTCCCAAGAAATTAAACATGGTTGAGAACCTCCTATTGTAAAAGGTGAAACACAAAATTTTCTTAGAATATGTACCTTCTTTTATTTCCCTGTCTTCCCTTGTCTTTGATTCAATGCCAATGAACACAAAAAGTATGTCATAAATGACTTATCAGCTTTGCAGCACAATTATTTGTTTTAAAAGCAAATTATTATGAAATATTTTAGATGTACAAAAATAAAATGGAAAAAAATAAACACACATATACCCATCAAAAAACTAAGAAATATCACATTCTCAGAACAGTTGAAGTCTGGGATTTCACAGCCTGATCACGTGGCCCTCTACCTTGTACTCTACTGGGTGAACTTCTATCCAAATTTTCATGTTTAGCATTACCAAAAATGTCTCCAACCTCATACAACATATTGAAAATATGTACTACCAATTCTCAACAGTTTTATAATATTGCCATAATCAATTTCTAGAATATTTGATAAAAATCAGCTATAAAGCTGCTACTATCTGTTTGTACATATTTATATGGCAAGAGCTGGTATTAACTATGAATTCAATAAAATTTTGTTGATGTTTAAATCTGTTCAAGTTTTATCTATATCTTCTTACATTATGCCATCTCAGAGTTCACTGTATGGTATTGATTACCCTACACATGTTTTTTCATCTATCCTATTACTAGTAGGCCTGAAGATGCTATAAGAATCTTTCAATGGTCCCTTTATTACATCAGATTATTCTTCAAAATACTTTCTGCAAGCTTATATGTTAGGCAATGCAGGGATATGAAATTATTATAAAAACTGTAACCTAATCAGTGGATTAATCTATTTGGTGTATTAATAATTTTAATGGACCATTGGGAGGAAACTCCAGGCAGTTAGGACATGACTGAAGGAAGTAGGTTATTGGAGGCAAGCACTTAGATTCCATCTTGTCTTTGGTTCCTTTTTCTCCCTCTCTCTTGTTCCCAGCTGCCATGAGCTGAGCAGCTGTCCTCCAACT